TGTACATTATCTCATATTGAATTTTATTCCAATATCTAATCGATTCCACACATGTATATAAATGAAGGAAACAAGTTGTGTGAGTAACTTGATATGATTATGAGCAATAATTTGTGTTCGAAACTTCATCAGTTAATATTACTGTGTAACACTGTGTGATTTATCAAAATAAAATCTTATCCATAATGGAGTTATACTCTACCACAGTGCCCAAGTTTTATACTTATATCTAACATGACTTGTCTAATTCTGACGAAACCAGTTTTCAAGAGTTTGTGTTGTGGGGATTTCCGCGATCAAAAACATGAAAAAAGCCAATTCTGTTACGTATGCCAATTATCTGACTGTTTCCATACCGGTTGTTCAAAATGAATAGCTTTTTATTTGAAATTAGTCAGTGGTCCTTGTCGAATGGTCTTCAGATAAATCCCTCCGAATGTCAGATTTTCAATTCCACTTTCAAACAAAAATGTGATTTACATGAACTGGTCCGTTTCTGTGATTCTTGCACCATAAAAGGCATTGAGATTGAAACTAAGTTCATTGTTACATACATTAGGTTATGTCTTTCTTTTGATCTTTCTTGGTCTTCCCACATTATGTTAATTTCTAGGAATATATTTTGTTTAACCTTCTATGCAAGGAAGTTAAGACAATCAGGTGTCACTCGGTCTCTACTTTTATTGTTTGTTAATTCTTGTATTCTACCTATCCTCCTTTATGGCTCCCATTTTAATCTTTCTTGAGCACTTAAAAAACTTTGTTATTTTGAGAAGGGTACAGAAATTTATCGGAAAGACTGTTGGCGTGTTGTTAAAGTAAATCGTTGTTAGTGTTGTGGACAGACACTTGAACTCACGCAAGACTTAATGTTCGAACGAATAACGATGAAAAATCCACGATGCGTTACTTGATATGAAGCTACTAACTTAATGCGAAACAGTTAGTAAACGGCCTTTTTTATCCTTTCAATCACTAATATATTGTTGTCACTATTTCTGTTAACTCTCATTCTTAATTTTATTTTGATATTCTTATGAACATTAGTATCAACGTAAATGCCCTGTTAATTAGTCCCCCCCCCCATACTACGTAAATGTGAAGAGTAAATTAGATGCCTATTGTGCTAGATGCTGAGGATTCCATATTGTATCAAACCTACTTTTTGGAATAAAGACGTTAATTACTGTTATTGCTTTGTCAGACAAGAATATAAATTAGTTAGGGTTGTTGTTTACGTCAACAGAACCTTAAGAAGGCCAGTCTATAGAAAACCCACTTGGAACGGTCAGCTATCAAGTTTCTACAGTTGGGTGCCCGTTGAACGAAAATGAAATCCAATTTAATCCCTTGCCTTTCGGATCTGACGTATCTGTAGGCCTGAAACCCTGGAAACAGAACTGGATCTTCCGGAAGAAACCTTCATCCAAAATGGATATCCACCAAGATTCATTGACAAGAATATCAGACCAAAAGTCTAGAGGAACGAAACATTTCTTGTTCGAACACCTTACCAAAAGTAACTACTCCATTTCAACAAACGCCTCCTTCAAACTACTCTACACAGTCATGAATAACCTGCCAAAAGCAATGAGCTTTCTTCTCCTTTGTATTGTTGGAGACTTATCCATTCATTTGGAAAAAACTAGGGTTATGTATACAAAGGAAAACCATTCAGTCACTTCTGCTATTATGGCAATAACCGTGTTGATTTCCACTCACTGTTATGCATTCACTAACACTGACAACTATTTTTCGACAACTCATCATCATCACCACTACCCTCATACTAATCTTCGCCCTCGCCCCTAGTTACAATTTGATTATTCATCACATTTTTTGAAATATTTTGATGACGTAAACAATAGCCCTAACTAATTTTTATACTTGTCTGACAAAGCTGATTTACACACACATAAAAATAATCAAATGTAATTGCGATTGTACAGCTAAGTGAATGAACTGGCCGTAAAGAGACTCTTCACTGAACCACGTGCTTTGTTCTCATTAATGCCTGGATGGAGATTATTCATGAATTATTATTGCTGACAGTCATTATCATCATGGCTAATAATGTTCCATCATCTTGCGGGGTCAATGGAAATTATTTTCCAACTTTTATCCGTTAGCTGTGATAATCATCAGCACTCCCCATATTCCTCAATGCTTGATTCCATAGATCATGGATCTCGGATAGGGTTTCCTGCTTGTGAGTGGTTTTGTAGATGGTTTTTCTCTGAGATCAGAAAATACTTTGATATTAAGCGATGATTTAATAAAGTTTCAAGCATCTATTACTACATAGTTATGGTTGTTTCCAATGAATCTGAAAGTGATTAACAGATAATTCCATTGTGGGTAAAATTTATTTTGATAAAGTCTCACAGTATTATGCAGTAATAACTACTGATGACTTTTCGAGCACAATTTATTGCTCATAATCATATCAAGTTACCCATAATGGAATTATTCTCTACCACAGTGCACAACTTCTATTCTTATATCAATGATTAACAGATAGTTTAGTGAATGATGAATGCTATAACTTATAACATCATCAGATGTATTATAGGCCGACTCCTCAAATACAAGAATGAATTGGATGAGTTAAGCACAATGATAAGTATCAACAATCGCCTTTTTAAATCACCTACTGAATGACTACATGGTATTTCTAAGTTAGAACTGAATTCCCCAGTATAAATTCTCATGTGGGAGGCTGTCAGCCACATTTTTTGTGCTAAAGCTTATAATACCATCCAGGTGCTCAAGCTGGAAGAGGCGGAAAGGCTCTCCAGCCTGAAGCTAACGGGGTGGAAATCGAAAGTTTAAGCCGATGAACCGTGCCTGCATGTGTATTTCTATGACAAGAATGTCCTACGACAAAATGCAGTGAACCCTGTGCATAGGGGTTGTTTAAAAATCTCGAACTAGGGGGGGCATAGTTATTTAATACTCAGTTGGCGATTTCATAACTAATGTCCATTTATGACATTATTGGAATACAGAGCACAGATTTATATTTAGATAAATATTCTATAAACATAAATAAGTGATGAAATCTTATAAACGATCGTGAAATATGATCCGGTTGATTGACGGCTCATCAGTTTCATGTTATCTTTGTTGGTAAAATTCTACTAAGAAAAACTAAGATGAGAAAATGATGAATTTATGCATTCACTAGTGGCTGAATACCAATCCTCGGTTTGAATTGCTACGATACATCAACTGTCCAATGCTCCATAGCTTATGGAACTTCTATAGCCGTTTACCGGTTACTGACCAAAGCAAACTTGAAATCCTTAAACTCGTTGGAAATATAGCTATATGCACATAAATGGTGATAGGCTTTCGAGTGATATTTCAGTCTGTGCGTTGCTACTGTCCAAATATCAACAAAATTCCAGTTTGCTTCAAATATAAAATAGCTGATTAGGCTTCGTGTCTAAAAAGAGTCATAGAATGTGAATTTGAGTATGACCACGTGGCAGGTATGTCCTGTCGTGTTTTTAGGGGTCACGCTGTTTACATCATACGATATCAATGAAATCAAACAGTATTGGTTTAATTGTTCACAATATCAATGCATTGTGTGGAAATCATAGTTTTATTTTTTTTCTCTGAAAATTGTCGAATTGCTTCGATGTTATTAGTGATTGCATATTCGTTATCACTTATGTTATGTTTCAGGCTTTTCTTGCTGACTCAAAATCACAGCTTGCACATCGTCAAAGGTCATTTGGCCATTCGTAGAGGGGTAGAAAAACTGAAGTGTATGTGTATCCATGCTTATAACATTTGTCTGATTGTTGGTATGTCATTGCGATGATAGCTTGTGACAATATTGTTTAAGATGTATTTAATGGGCCAAACAATTCGCTATAAATTTTGATTGGTTAATACAAACAACCAATCATAAACGCCGAACTATACATTCAATGGTATATAAATAAGTTAATTATCCTCCCACATTATTCAGTATTTTTCCAATTTTGACAACTTGTTCATCTGTTGACAGCTTAGAAGGATTTCTATTGAGGATATTTGTCTCCGTCTGAAGTCGTACACGCATTATAGGTAAGTGTTTGCTTCTGTTTTATGTTTCTACGGGTTCGACCACGGATTGATGTCAGTTAGAGAACCATTTTATGTATTACCTTATGGAAGCTAGACTTTTATAGAGGTTATCCTTTCGCCCTTATTAGATTTGTAGGCACTTCTGTCTAAGCTTGTTTCTCGTTTTCATAATTTCATATTTAGTAATTATAACAGTATGTAAGAGTATATATGCATAGGTAAATATACATCCAAATTATGGTCACTTTATTTTCAAAATACTAATTCATACGTCAAAGGTAACAACTTTTACAACAGTACCATCTACCTGTACAAATGAAAGGAAATTAGTTCGTGTTTTGCAATAGTATATTTTTAATCGTACTTGAGTGCACTCTTGAGTGAGTGGCTAATGTTTTCACTTTACTAGCTAGAGGATTTGACATGTAATCAGGTGTTGGCCTTCTCAAGGTGTATTTGAGTTGGTGATAGTTTATTGTGGTGGAGCCTAACGATTATACTTTGTGTTAGGTTGTGACACAAGTCGTTCCGTCATTTAGATTTACTGTTATGAATTCATCTTGTTTGCGTAAAATCATCGAGTAATGCTTATAAGTGATACAGAGAAATAGGAGTCATCTGTTTCTTGGAATTCAAGGTGAACTGGTCTGTGGTTCCAATTTTTATCTTTATACTAGCATATGATATTTTAAGTACATTATGAACTTCGTAGCATTTAGTTAATTAACGATTCAGTTACTCAGAGCAGATTTTTCATGTACCAAGAACCGTAGTTACTTTGTGAGCGCTGATAATGATGCAAGTAGGCTAGAATATCATGATATTTTCATGTGTTCTCATTTATCAACAAAAAATAAATTTAGTGTTGTGTGCAGACTGAATTACTAACTGTATTTCGCCTTTTTAATTTTAGTATTCAAATGGCTCCTCATCCAGTTCTTTCTTCACCCGGTCAAATGTTTTGTCCATCAAATGATATTTCCATGACAAATTATGAAAACAGTGTCTCGTTTCAGTCGGTTTTGTTAAACGCCTTGGCATTGGCCGACCGTCGACACCATCATCAGAATCATCTCAGTCGTGAACAAGTACCATTTACTTTGAACAGCTTTCTTAGTCAACAGCACAATCATTTGGTCGAAGCACAGCCACAACAACAATTTTATCCAAATTCTGATAACCTCCAGTTACAAAAAATGACAGAATTATCTTTCTTGGAAAATTTCATGAAGGATCATGATTCGACAAACGGTCATCCTTTAATGAATTTTATATCTGCAGCTGCCAATCAGTCAGAGAATTCAAATACTTTGCCATTTCCAAATTTTGCGTTGACTGCATCCTTGACCAAAGCTATCAGTACTAGTTCAGGTACATTAGGTTCACAAGTACTACCGATATGTGCTCCTCTATTGCAATTGGCTATACGTCAAGCTATTAATGAATGCTTTCCAAATTTTCCAAATTTACATATCAAAGGTACACTGAACATATCAGTAAACGATGATCAAAATCGGAATGATACTAATCTATCCAATACTCCTAACAGTCATCAAATCAGTAGTGCAACAACTCTGTACTTCAATGAAGATTATGATTCACCTATGAAGTCATTGAAATCAAAATTTGATGATTCATGCGTTAAACAAGAAGTCAATGGTAATGATAGTAACAATTGTTCTAACGATGATGTATTATACAGAGATGGTGCACATTTCCATTCTTCACGTCGTAAACCATTGCATCCTAGTAAGTGTTTTTATCCATCAGACCTTGTATTCAATACTAGCCGTGATAATGTTCCAAGTGAACAGTGTGAAAATGGTTTGAATTTACTACACATCAATAATTTCACAAGTCCATTATTGTCAACCTCAAGTCCAACTAGTCCGTCATCTGACTCTGGTGTATTGGACTTGTCTCGTAGTGGTTCATTGGCTGGATCAGCACCGATTACTCCATTAAAAGATTTCAATATTAATGGAAATAACAATAATAGTAGTAACAATAATGAATTGCAATGCAACCGCGAACAAGACATATTAGAATCTTATCAAAAACAGCTAGCTGCATTTAGTCAAATACAAGCTGTATGGAAGATGTCTACAGGTTATAACAATGGTGAGGCATTTAGCGATAATTTCCTGAAATTCGCTTCCAATGATACCAACAGTATTAATAGTAGTAATAATGATGGTTATAATACTTTACAACAACCTCATTCTGAACCAAATACACCAAGTAAAGGAGGGCGCCGTGTACGTTCACTGATTGGTCCAAATGGTCGACTGACAAATGTACGGCGTACCAGCTCAAATCGTCGTTTTCCATGTAACCAATGTAAAGAAGAATTCCCATCATTGCATACATTGGAACAACATACTTTAGGTCAGCATGGTACTTACAGATGTCATATTTGTAGAGCACAATTTACTCAGCGTTCTAATTTACAACGTCATGCGCTGAAACATGTCGGTTTTAAACCATTTGAATGTCGTGTCTGTTCTAAAGCCTACTATCGTAAAGATCATTTAATGCGTCATATGGAAATGGGACATCCGGGGTATACTCCACGAGATAATATCACAGTGCATCTAACATCATCAGAAAGTCTTGATTTCTTGAATCGATCAACAACTAGTGGACCTGAAACTCATTCAATTGTTGATTCAACTCAATCCTTGGAAAATAATCATGAAAGCGTAGAAGATGATGAAATTGGTCAACATTCTACGTCTTCTATGAATCATTTCAATCCTGCAGACACTGAGTTTTCTCCACTACAAGAAAAAACAATTGCCTCAATACCAGAAGAGATATCATTGATATCTGAGTCTAACGAAACATTTCAATGACATGAAAATGAATTGCTTTTTTATCTTATTTATTTTCAACAGAAATTATTTTCCACTAAAACATATATGAACACTGTTGAATGTCAGGGCCAACAATTCCACACCAAAATTCCGGTGAGCTCATTTATCCCCGTCTTTGTAAATACCTCCATCTTTACTTTTTTCTTTTCTAACCATTTTTGCTATATGATACTTTTATATGAAAAAACACTTTTTGTTTTCGTTTTTCATTTTTTTTTATTCAATACAATATACTGTAGGGCAATATTTATTATTTTTAAAAACACTTTCATAAAGTAATTTTCTTAATTTGTAATTTTTCCTATACATTGGCGAAAATATCAACACCATGACATTTGAATGTATTTCTGTAAATTTTTTATGTACAATAACATCCCACTTTTTTTATAAAAATTATTTGATAAGAAAGAAAAACAACCCTGACATAATAAAACTCCTCATTATCACCAACATAATTGACTTTTTGATTATTCTACGGAGACGATGCATATAGAAGTTGACAAGTATAATACGAAGCATTCAAGACAGCGAGATGTGAGAAGTAAAGCTTAGCATGCTGTAGGATAATTCTAAAGTGATATAACTGTTTGACACTTTGCTGATAAGTGAAGTAATGGTAATAAAGTGGGGGTAAGAAAGCAAATTATATCTGTAAGGGGGCATTCCAGTAGGACTTAATTCAGTTTAGAATAAAATCTGCATTATGGATGTTTAAAACATCATGTAAAGTATTAGTTTTGAAAGAAAAAGGCTATTACTAGGATTATCTTTACTCTGTCATGTCAGTGATAAAAGTAGTTGAGTCTGATGAGTTAGTCGACAGATTTCAAAGCCTAAAGTATGGGATTTTTGGCTAACTAATCAGCTAAAAGTAGGTTAATTTGAAAGTAAATTTAAGTTTGCGTTTAAGTGCAACCTTGAAGTATCGCCCATCTCACTATAGATTAGCATACAATTGACGTTAAATGAAACTATGTGCTATATACTGATGTGGTGGTGTGATACAGAAAATGGGTTCCAACGGAATATTATTCTCACAGTAAGAATCAATGCATTTGTTGGTGTTAACGTCTGAATACTATTCCCACAGTTCAATACTGCGTTAGCAACAGAATACTATATGTATTTGGACATTCTATTTCATGTCGTATAATGTAAACTAAAATCACAGGCTCAGTGATTGGTTGAAGAATATAAACTGTATGGACATAAAGAGCAGTTTGATTACATGAAAATCTACCTTGGCTTCCGTGTCTTGCCTTCTGCAGTTACACTGATACACAGGTATTTATTCACCTTAATTCTAGCGACAATACCGTGTCACCTGCTGAAAGTCGGCAACAAATCACCTGACATCAACCAGATACATTTCGTCCTCTTTAGAGTATGTTGCAGCTACTGTCATACGTAAGAATCCGCTAATTCGTGATATTGTCAGTTTGGATGAGATACTGGAATACAATGTACAATGTATAATCGAGATAAAAGATTTAAGAGACAGTAATAGATATTGGAATTTCGAAGAATGAGATAAAGAATACTACTAGGTTCATTTACATTAAGACATTTCGTGTGCATTATAAGTATTTAAGTTAATTAAGGTAAGTGGATGAAATAAAGCTTTCTTGTTAATAATACTCAACCTTTGATGCATTAGGAAAGTCTAAATAAGGTGTGAAGCGAGTTTCTACGACAATGTCAGATGAATATTTCCTGAAAAAAATATCAGTTGGTCTTTAAAACAGAGTAGAATATTCTTCACCAAGATGACATGAACTAGAGGGATAGCAATGGGAGCTAAGTGTATCTAAACAATAACAAATTCAAAGTTTCCTAAGTCTAACAGTCTGCAGGTTTCTGTATTTGAAGTTTATGTATTGAGTCAATAGAAGTAGATGAACCAATCCATTCTGAATATAAGACAAAATCATCTTCATACACGATGCAAATGTAAGCCCAATATTTCACCTTAAACATTCCCAGTGGGATAACCATCATTCACTAAGAATATAAGTGTACCTCCCAAATAGAATGAAACTCGCACCATGGATTCCCCTGTTCGTCGTCACCAACCAAAATACCAGAATGAATGCAATCTGTTGTTTCTTAGTTGTTACTACAAGAGATAGGTTTAAAAAAATTTAATCTGGAATATCACAGCTATCCAGTGTTTCTTTCAGAAAAACTTCACAAAATGATGGCGTTCCGCGACAAGATCTCTTTTAGTATAAACTCCTATAGTTTTGGAGTATAATAATAGTAGTCACTTTACTCCAAGCCATGATTTTTCATACAGAATAGGATTTTCAGCATCTTGCAACAATTTATCTCTGTGTACAAATAAATAAACAATAATAAAACCGCAAAAACTGAATGTTAGCAGAAATAATAATTCTGGTTATAATAGTATATTCAGTTCATTTACTGATTAAAAAAGTTTATAAGCTCTGTTCGGATATGTGTCTCCTCACACGAAACCCATGCTAAATACGGTATAGTTAAATTTTTATATTTACTAGCTGTACGAGTATAAATTCTTATGAAATTTCTTCTGGTTTTATCCGAAGAGATACAAGCAGAAATTTGAGAATAGAGAGGATGTTCTGTATCAGACAAGATAACTTTGGCTAACTGTTTGTAAAAATTAAAATGCCTATCAATAACAAGGTCAATTAGTCGGGTCAAAGGCATACCTACTACCGCCGCTTACGGCCTTCAATGTTCTACATAGTATGCATCACACAGTCTTTCTTGAGGAGCCTAGGAAAGAATAAGGAGGAATAAATAAAGAAGAATGGGCAGAATAAGTAAATTGATAGATTGTAGAAGAAGAGTTTGAGTTATGCCGGAAAGTCTCAACTTCTCTCTATGTAATAAGTTAAACGAAATATTTTCTTAGAAGTCAATAAGATATGAGAGGACCAACAAGAATTTGAAGGGAAACTGATGCCAAGATACGTAATAGTACATTTATTTCCTATCACAATGCCGTTGATATAGTAATAATAACAATCTTGAGACTGAATCACTCCGTGCAAGTGTTGTTCACTTCAGAAACTAAAATCAACAGTGTTACATTAAAAAGGGTCCAATTTAAAAGCATTTGAGTAAGACCATTGGTTAACCTCAGATAAGAAACTGTTCACATCACAACAATCCAATGCAGAAACTACTGGAACAGAAATTGTCAGATCATCAACATATTCAATGAAATTAGCTCAGAAGAATAAGGTAGGTGATGTGAAAAAGGAAAGCTAACAGAAGTGGAGAAAGTACATGTTGAGGCACATCAACTTCCGTATGCAAAGAAGTAAAGCGTATCCCATTTACGACAATATGGGATTTCCTACCTGAAAAGTAGGAAACCCCTTATTGTTTTTTATTCCGAGTTACTTCAATAAGTACTGCATGTAATAACTACTTGATCAGTCAGGTTGTTCAAACTGACATTTGTCAATAATAATATCTGCTGATGAATTCAGTTAGTTAGCTGCTTTATTAATATCCCCGTTTCACTTATCCATCCAAAGGCCAAGACCCTACTGCCATCCAAACACAAACATACACGCACACACGTGTCTATCAACTTGTAAGAACAAATACACGTACAAATACTAATTTGTACCATACACCACTTCCTCTGTTTTTCGATTGCTAAGAAAAATACACCCTCGCTTAAGAAATGAAGGGGGAAAAAACTTTGTTCCCATGGTCGGTGAAATACTTTTTCCGTGTCTTTTATGCACACATATAAAAAGGAAATAATGTAGATAAACAAATGATAAAAAGAACATTTATTTTAGATTATGAAAAGATTATTATTATTATTACTATTTTGTAGTTTATGATTGAATAAATGACCGTTTAGAGTATAAAATAGGTGGAGAGATAACACTAGCTACTAAATGCATCCGGTTATAGACAGATCATCATTCGACTGACAGTTTAAGAAAAGTATAACTACACGATACCCTTTCAATGAAACAGTGAAACGAAATATTGCCATGTTTCTCCTTCTTGATGATTAGATTGTGCACTAATATAGCCTTAATACTTGTTTTTGATGATGTTAATAATAATAATAATAATAATGCATACAGATGTATAATTATTATAATACAGTTAGTAGTTGATTAAGTGTTCAATTGTAGAATATACTTTAAAAGAAAAAAATCTACAATCGTATTTTGATTTATTCAATGGTAAATTGAACATGTAAACAATGTTAAATTAACAATACAGGAAGTGTTAATTATTTTATTTTATTCTTATCCAGACAACAAAATATATCTACCGCTTACGTAGGACTTAGATTAAGTTGTTTGTTGTTTTTATGTTATTTCCTATCGACATAGAAAATGAAACGTGATGTTACAGTCAAGTCAAAAGTATAAAGTTAAATCCCATTTTCACATCCGGAATTAAAATATTGACGCTAATTGATTAGAAGCAATCGGCAGCTAACCGTAGACCCAGGTTTCATGCTTGTTTTCACTTAGCAGCACGGCAAGTCTTAAAGGAACGGGTGTCCTCTGTGATATTAGGGTCCTTCGCAGTGAATGCTGCAGTTAGAGATGCTACTAGTGTCTAAATATCTTACTCTCAGTTTTACGAATTCTCCGATAGTCTGTATTTATTTGAAGAAAGCAAGAACAACAGTTTTTGCAGGACAATATGGTACCATCATTGTTTGTTTCATTGGCTTCTCATCAGCTGCTTACAGCCTAAATAAATTATTTAGCTTTTATACAGAAAAGTGTTAACATATTTACAAATTTCACATGATGTCAACTGACAGAAGGTCTTGGACTTAGTGAACAGTGCTCACAAAACTACGCTTATTTAGTTTTTGTACAAGGAGTTCAAGTTTAAACAAAGTAAATGTGCACATACGCAATAGAGACGAGAGGCACGTAAGATGATGAGTAACTAATACGTTGAGTAACAATGTACTGAGTTCAACTCAAAACATAGAAACA